CATCCATCCAAAATAAGAGCTACATTTCAAACTCTACAGGCCTCAGTTAGCATGTTAAATATTAAAGATGATGACAGTTTGAACGGTTGGGAATGGTTGCCATTAATAAATCTCTACTTTTCTAGAAAGAACATGGCAAGACGACTTAGGTTTGCAAAGTTGCATCTGAACAAACCACAAGACCAAAGGATCAATGTTCATTGGACAGACAAGATCAAAGTGGAGATGTCTGGCCATAATACACAGAGTCGCGTTTGGTGAAAAGCACAAAAAACACATATCGTTGTTAAGCACAGGGGTGAAGAGGCACTGATTTGGGCTTGTTTTGCAACCACAGTACCACAGTACTCCTCGGTACAGTTGTGAAACAGGAGAATGATCCCAAGTAAGCAAGAATCTACATAGAAAAGAATCAACGTGCGGCTATGGCCCAGTCCACAAACTCAATTGAAAAGTTGTGAAAACTGTAAATCTCAATGAGTTAAAGAAACATTGTGAAGAAGAACAGGCCAAAAATTCTCCACAATGATGCGAGAGATTGATAAAGTCAAACAGAAAACAATTACCTCAAGTTATTGCTGCTGAAGGTGGTTTAACAAACTAATAAGTCAATGGGTGAACTTAGTTTGTCACAGGACTGCACAGAGTTCATCATGTGATAAACAATTTTTATATTATTGTAGTAAGGCTGCTTACAATTATGCTAATATTGAATGGTACTGAGCTAACTTTGCTAAATAGGACAGTTACCTAATTCTTCAAGAAGTAATTTTTTTTAACAAAGCATTAATACTTAAGATGTAACATGTTAGATCTTAAATTTTGCAACTAACTGGTCAAAATTAGTATTAAATATAAAAAATGTTTTTATAAAGTAACAACACTCAAAAAAAATCAGGAAAGCACAAATTATTACAGATCATTTTATTGGAATACCTTAAATTGTCATGGAAATCTGTAAACTAAAACTCAACGTGTCATCACAACCTATATGGTCTATCCACCTGGGACAATGAATTTAATCAGAACTTTAACTGTCGCTGTTGGCCACAGAGTTGCATTATTTCCTGAAGTTTAATTACGAACCATTTTAGATCTATGTCACTTCAAACCAAAAATATCTGTCTCATATTGGTGGTAGGTCTAAAAGTGAGGAGATTTTTGCGGTCTGCTTTATAACTTTCATGACATCCCAACCTTTTTGCTGTTCGTTCTGCTGGCTTTGCTAAAAATGAGATGAGGTTCTCATATAAAAAGCATACAGTTTAAAACCCCAATAAGGTTGATGAAAATAATAATTATTCGCAGAGTGGACTGAAACAAGGATAGAGGACTGTACCATTGCTGACAAATTGCTGTTTAAAAAAAAAGAATTTATTGGGCTATTTTTTTTTAAGTTATCCTCAAGATGTGAAAGAAGCTGGAGGCAAATACAGTGTACATGTGTAAGTGCATACATGTGCATGTCCAAACAGTTTGCCTGAGACAAAGACACATGTTCTACAGACTACAGGACAGATGTTCTGAAGGCAGAGATGGGCCTCTTTATAGCAAAACACAGAGCTGTTCAAAGAGGCCCTGCTGACCCCTGGGACAGAGCGACTCAATTAGCTTCCCATAATGAGAGCGCACTGTGGGGGGTGTTTATATAAGCTTATTAAAACATAATCCTAGCTGCTGCGCCATACTGTAGCATGCCAGACAGGCCACTCCTGCAACCAAGTGTGAGCCAACAGCCGGCTGGTGGGTTCAGTCATCAGAAATAAGGAGAAAAAATAAAAATATTATTCGTAAACCTATACATTAAAGCTTCAGCAAATAATTTAGATAACATTTAAAACTTCCTATTCAACTAGAGGTACAGTGATGAGAACGTCTTTGCAGTCCTTTGTCACAATCACATAAACACCTAACACTTTTAGTTTTGTGAACATATGAGGACAAGTCACTGAAATAACTGAGGTCTAAAAATGATTTCTGTCAAGAATAATGAACCGTACTCAATCAATATCTTTTAATCGGGCCCCAGACATATTGCATCGCATTACACAAGCTTGGGCAACAGTTAATCCTAAAGACAATGTACAAAGTGGACCACAGTCCACACTGCTGAACCCCTTCTCAACCCACAGACCCGATTAACATGGTTAATGTCTTTCAGTAATCCCACCCCGTGGGCTGAGCTCCAGTCATTATGCTGGCAATTGCGTTTGGGGGGGTACCACAGAAATCCTTCATCAACTGAAAGACATCAGAACTGATTACTGATCTACACTTTCATGTGGAGTCAGAGTTCAGTTGTTACCTAAATGGTTCTTAGAAGTTATGTAAGGAGGTGTGCTCACGGGGTTGTAAAGTTCAGTAACCTTTTGAGGTTGTTACAGCTGAAGGAGGCTACAGCTGACCGGGCCACCCATTTCACACCATTAGCTCACCCAGTTTTGGTTTGACAGAAAGCTGAAAGTTTCCATTTCCAAGAAGAAGTGCTGCTAGCTGGAACCATTAAGTAATCATACTCTGTATTTGAGTTCAATGGCATAAAAAATTTGCGCTGTTTAAGCTCTTTCTGATTTAAAAAAAAAAAAATGTCTAGAAGGAGTGGTTTGACAGTATAGGAAATGCACTCTCTTGCCAAGCTAGAAGAGAAGATTGTTACAACTTTCATCACCGTCTATCCAACATGATGCTGAGTTAGCACAGCTTAGCTTAGCATGAAAGCAGGAAATAGCTACTCTCTACTTTACTGTGTTAGAGTTGAATAGTATTCATTGCTACTAATCAAACTTAAGTGTAAAGGGAATGTTAGCATGCTCGGTTAAGTCATAAATCGTCTGCGTCCTCTTAAACGGACCCATGCCAAACCCATGCTTTGAAGCTTTGTGGCAGAGTTTTCTTTGGTTTCAGTTTACTTTGATATTATTACTGTTATGAAATTTCACAAACTCACTAGTTGCAATGTTGGCATCCTATTAAAGCCTTCATCGAGCTCTTTATAGCAACAGTCTATTAATGGGACTAAGATCTACTGAATTCAAAGAATATAAGTGCTATGGCCTATTCCTTTTATCCATACACTATAGATCTAAAAGCTTGCTAAAAACCTGCTCTACCTCCTGAGCTACAGCCACCCGCTGACTAATACTGCACAGTCTCCTTCAGTTGCTAAATGAAATTAAGTATGTCCACAAGTTTAATTAGTGTCACAGTTTAGTCAAAAGCTTTTTTCAGGTGAACGTGGGATCATGAAAAGACAGAATTAGACACTTTGAGATGGTCGGTGAAGACCGGACCTTACTCATGTCTGTATGAAAAACAGGGTGAAGGGTGGATTAGACTTGATGGACACTGCATGCTCATATACGGCAGTTAATTGTCAATCACAAGCTAAGCCATTGTGAAGCAAACTCTGTTTTATCCTTCTTTTTAGTTGTTTAAAAAATTAACAAAAAGTTGTCTTACAAAAGACCTAAAACTAGCAATTGAGACCACATAGAGTTTACTCAGGTCACTGATCTGACTTTTGCACAACTAGATGTCTCTTTGCTCCCAGAGGAATCTTGACTTGCTGAGCATGAAAGAGAATATAAAGGCACTTTTGCACTGGCAAGAGAAACTGAGCATCTTTTTTGGACTGAACCCAATATTTGCCATAATGGGAGAAATCTGATTGAGCAATGAATGTTAGTTTGACTTCTTTAACCAGTGACCATGCATGGGCTCCATTGCATGCACAGATTATCAGTGAATGATAATATTTTGTGAGTTCCACATGACTTCCATAATCTTCATGGGTTTGGCTCATTGACGTAATCTTTTTATTTACATTTTGTAACACAAATCCCCCCACATATGTTCATACTGAGCTCTTCTGGTTTATGCAGTAAAATATGTATTGCAGTCTAAATTAGCAGAAAGACGTGCGCTTGGACATTCTCACAGTGAAACTTGAGCGATGCGTAGAGCCCACTGCTATGCTGTTTCCTGACTGTTAGCTTCATCATTGACCTCTCAGGATTCCAGCCGCAGACAATAACCTGTACTTCCAGCAGGCAGGTAGATATTACAGTCAAACACACAAGCCACAATGCTAAATCACAGGACGTTTTGCAAGACAGCTGCCTTGCTGAGACACAACAATGGGGTTTCATACTAAAATATTGGTGGAAAGTGGAGCCGTGCTAACTATCATAATTAGACCACTTGGCATAACTCCTGCTTTAGTTTCACTCATTCTGAGGCCGGACAGCATACTCATCTGCAGCCTGCCAGACGACACAGACTCTCTTTTTAGTCACCTACCCTATCATTAGCATTTCTAAACAAGTACAAGATACCTACCTAACCATCCTTCTCTGCCATTGTTGTAGTGTGGTGTAGACACCCAGCTATATATGGCAGGAAAGGGCTATTTTAGTCAATTATAATCATCTGATCCTGCAAAGTTAAAAGTCTTGGTTCCCGACAAAACCTCTGAGGTTTCTGAATCTTTGAAGCGTTTTCCAACAAAAATGAAGTTTTAGTTCATTTTAGAGAGAACTGCTTACCTTGCAGAATAAATGACTGGTGATAAAACATGCAGCAGTTCTTCACTGTTGTTTTCTGTCAGGTTATCTCATGGTTAATGATCACTTACTGTATATTACTTTTACAGAGCTATAAGGTGATTTGAGTCAACTACATCTGGTGTAATGATTCTTAATTGAGATCCGACTGATAACAATAGTGAAAATGCTATAAAGGGGACTAGAGAGGGGATATTTTACTTTTGAAAAGATAGAGGACACACACATAGAGTTGTGTATGTTGTTCTGATCCTCATTGTGGCAAACAAATAAAACCCTGTGTGTAAACCTCTACATTTGGATCAAATTTCTCTTTTAGGAGAAAAAAAAACGTCTATTCATGCTCTGTAGTAACCACTAACCTCAGAAACATTCCCCTGCCCTCTACCACGTGACCACGTAACACAGCTCCACAGAAGAGTCAACAACAAAAGCAGGTTAAATATTTCACATTTTATTTAGTTCCACTCATAAAACCCAAAGATCTTCTCTCATGGCAGAATCAGACACAAACTGAAACAATCATACGGAGCCCATTTAGAGTTGGGACAGCACAGACAAAGACCGAGTCACTTATACTGTATCTGTACAAGCAGATTTATCCTGATGACATTACAAACATCAAATGATCACTATGTAACATACATAATGGCGTGTGAGATCTCATACATCTGCTGTGTATTGCTGTTGATCAGTTATTGGCCCAGAAAGAACAGATAAATAGACAGATGAATGAAAGGCTTCTGAAAAATAAGAAGCAAACACAGAATCAGTCTCTTTGGCGATTTCACCTCATTTACTGCATAATCTCAAAAGTGGAGAGAGTTTGGTTTTATACTGACTGACAACGAAAGACCCTTTGATCATCCAAAGCAGTGAGCGGAGCAGCTAAGAGCCTTTACCTGCTTGGATCCTACTTTTGAAGAAGGATTTCCACTCTTTCACTGGTCCAAAGACCGTTACATGGCCAGACTTAAGTGATGTGCTTGAAATGTGGATAATACAACCAAGGTACAGTGGTATAACCCATGTATTGCTGCAACATTGTAACAGTAACAAAATATCATGAAGTCGAACTGGCTTTAACATTTCGGAATCAGTCAAAGTGAAAACCGATATTGCTAAATCTTCCATAAACGTACAGCAGAGATGTGTTCTCCAGATTGTGTTGGTTGGATGATGATCGGTATTTGATCTTTGCCATTAATATTTTGCAAAATCAATCTATTGGTAAAGGAGCTTAATGGCCAATTAACAGCTGTGACAAAACTACAACAGCCTGTAGCATAACACACACCATTCAAAACGGTCATACACATCCTGGAGATGTCATCATCATTCCATTAAAAAAAAATTATACTCATATACATTTGATTGTAAATTTTTAAAAGGATGAGTTAAATCTGATAAACTACAGAGCCTATTTTTAGAAGCTATTTGACTCACAGATGCCTCTCATTTAGGAAAAAGTGCAGGGCTTGCAATGTTTAATTTGGGCTTTTAGGCGGAGCAGTTCACGCTTTGAATTCAATAAAACAAAATTGAAAAGAAAATCGGGAAAAAATCTATTACAAGCCTTGAAATCCGAGTTACAGTGTAGATCAAATGAAATAATATACTTTGATAAAGAAATGAACCAAATCATAAAAAAGAAAGAGTATATTTTTAATATGCGATATCATCACCTTAACGACCCCCAAGTCAGCTGGAATTCCTTTGGACAAGTTCTGTATGATATGCAGTCCATGAGCCGTAACACTTTCCTAGTGCCATAAGTTTTGGTTCCATGATGGTCACAGTCACATTTTACATACCGGCTCTGAAGAGCAGACAGTGGTTACAACCTTATACTGTCTCTTAGGCATCAACGTAGGGTCTTTTCTGGTCAAAGTAAAACCATCAAATCCTCAAACAGCCATATAGCTTAGCCAGGTGCCCCTGCTGAACTGTTGCTCCATCGAATTAAAGTCACAGTAGGTCATTTGAGGCCGTCCATGTGAAAGTAACAAGGAGTCCTTACATCCAACTCAACACTCCCAAATACGTCAGCAGTTCCAGTTTTACATCAGTTACAGAAATATTATCTCCTTCCCCCCTACTGGACGCACACATATTTCTTCCACCAGGCCTTGGAGAGCATCTTCATCTTATCGGCTGTGCTGCGGACCTTCCTCTCCCGCCGCGCTCGCCTATCAGACTGTCGCAGTCCCACAGAGATGGCCACATCAAACACCTCCTTCAGATTCTTTTGTGTCAGTGCCGAGCACTCAACGTACGTCACAGCCCCAATTTTTTCCGCTAGCGCCCTGGCATCTTCCTCCGGCACCGGCCTCTCCCTCCTTCTTGCCAACTCGATTAGCACTTTGACGTCCTCCCGCAGGTCGCACTGCGTCCCTACGAGGATGATGGGCGTGAGGGGGCAGCGGCGGCGGATTTCGGGGACCCACTTCTCCCAGACGTTTTGAAAGGAAGCGGGGCTGACCACGCTGAAGCAGAGCAACAGGGCGTCTGTCCGACTGTAGCAGAAGTGGCGGAGTTTGTCGAACTCGTCCTGATGGAGAAGAACAAAGAGAGAAATTTTATTTTATATATTTTTTTTTAACATATGTCTGGTTCAGAGTCTTTATTTTGATTTGAGCCACCTCCCTTCACTCTGACCACACACGGATGCACTTGAACACACTCAAGTACTGTAACATCACATCACAGGAAAGGGAGTGGTGCCAGTAACTGTTAAATAACAAACCGTCTCGATAGTGTTTATATTGCGCAAATATTCAGAACAGACAAATCCTGCCCACACATTTATACCATTTGCAGTAAATCTCTTAAATTGACACTTTGGAGCCACACAGCTTTAACTTACATGGGCCTCCCACATCCTTGAGTACACAGATCAAGGTTGGCAGTAACTTGACTCAGACCTCTCCTTTTTTTCCGTTTAACTCCATCCTTTCCAACACATATCTCTTAATCCTTATTTGACTAAACAATGCCACAAGCCCGTTCTCTGCCCTTTAAAACACAATTAAAATGTGCAGAAAAAAAATCAGTAGTTTCCACATGTGGATTTGAGGCCCAGCACATGCCGCTTCTGAGTTTGACACACACAAGGTCTGGCTGCGCTTTGTGATCTGATGACGTAGGCCCATCTGCAGAATATACACACACGTATCAACATCTCTGAGTGAGGAGCGACGTTGTTTATCAGCCCTGGAAGTGTCTGCTATCATCTTTTTCCAGACCTTCTGTGTCTTTCCATCTCTCCTCGCTCTCTCCTCTCTCATCTCAACGTTTTTGGCACACCCGACCAGTCTCTGGTTCAAGCTCTCCCCCCACCCTCGTATAGAATTGCATCACTACAGTAAGTGTTTGTAGACTTTTATCTAGTTGAATTTGCCCCAGCTTGTCTGCGTGCGGATGCGTCTGCGTGTATGTGTGTGCAGATTTAAGGCCGTGAACAGCTCAGAACATGCTGTGAGGTTTTACACGTATTAGGGGTTTACTCAAATGCCTCATTCCACTTTATAGCCAAACTGTCTTTGATTCTATGCAGAACTGGCAGTGCCCTCGCAGCGGCTGTGAATGTCAAATATGCTGCTCCCAGGGCAGGGTTTGACTGTAGTGGGTTATGAAACAACCACCCAATGCCCCAGAGAAACAGAAACACTGTTTCACAACATGTTCTTTCCAAGATTGGCCTATCAACATAATAATGAGTCAATAAATTTACCTGGCAAGCTCTGTGTAGCACAGTTCATTCACCTTAGTAACTGACAGAAAACAGTTCACAACTAATTATAATTTTATAACCAAATGACGTTTAACCGATTATTTGTTCCATCGTTTCAGTGCCTCAAATATAGTGAGGATGAGTCTGCAAATGTACTCAAGATTTTTTTTAAATGTCTTTTTAAACATTAGCAGCATGCAAGGACCCTAATATGTGCTATTAAAACTATTCCTGCATAACTCTGCATATAACACTGCAACCAAGCAACGGAGACTAATCAACCAACATGTGAGAGTTATGTAGAGCAAAGGCCGAGAAGCATGCAGGCACTGTATGTCAATGACCTGCGTAGAGTGCGAGTGGTAATGCAATGTGTTTGTGTGCAAACTCACCTGTCCCGCAGTGTCACACAACTGTAGTCTGACTGGGCTCCCATCCACCTGAACCACAGCTGCAGATACAGAAAGAGACAGAAAGAAAACAAAGTGAGTCACAGGTGACAGTATGAGTTTTAAGGCTGTGTATGTACCCCCACCTGACACTCGAGTTAATGCACACACACACACACACAGCTACTAACCGCAACACTCTCAGCAATAAACAAAACCCTTACAGTTTAAAAAACAAAAAAGACTCCCCGCTGCCGCCTGTTCTGCTCTTCCAGCTCGCAAATGGCCTTGCTCAGTCTCGCCCACCCACTCTGCCAGTTACCGTTCAGACCGTAACACTTTACTGTCGCTCAGACCGCTTGGTGGGCTTTGTTCTGTGCTGTGTTTTGGCAGAGGCCAGTCAAAGGTTGTCTGATGGTGTGTCTATGTGTGTGTGCATGGGGGTAAAAACAAAGCAGATTTTGTTTATTTAGTGACTCTCTTCCAATTGGCCTCATTTCCAGATTGGAAAAGAGAGTGAGTCATCTCACAGTGAGTTTCATTACAGGGCCATTTATTCTATTCAGAAAACTGAACACAACGCAGAGCAGCAGGCACATGGAAACATTTACAATAGGCCTGGAGCGTGTGGTTGGTCATACCACCTGATCAAAGGGTTTTGCTGGAACTATTCATATAGGAGGACAGCCGTCAGAACACCCTGCTTTCACAGAGGCAAGGGGGGGGGGGAGCGCGGGAGGACACAGAAGAAGGAACATAAGAGAGATGCCATTGGGTAATCATTTCCTAATACCTGACATATGATACTCCTTTGATTTTCTCATCCAAAACTCCTTATTGTCCAGTCTCCTAGCCTCCTGCTTCTCCAAGTCTCTGCCACCTGTGGCATTGTGTAACTGCTCAGAAATCAGCTTTCAAGGGAACGCTCTGATTCCAGGCACTGAAAAATGACATCACTATTAAGGGCCCCAACTGCACAATCACTCTCTGTCAGGCCAGGGAGAAAGACAATCTCTGCCTCAGAGCTACTGCAACAGATGTGCCCGTTTCAGTATAGAAGAGAGGCCTTGCGGGTCAAGGCTGACAACAATAGGCAGAGTTGTGCAATCCAAAACCCGTGAACCAGTGAACCAACCTCTGTTCTGTGTGGAAGAGTTGAGCCAGCACTTGTCTAAGGGTGGTGTGTGCTCTACAAGAGTGTTTTATGAGATTTGGGTTGGCCACATTGTTCCTTTTAATGCTTATCAAGAGTAATGTCAGGGAATTAGCTATTAAGTTTACAAGTTTTTTCATAGCCAGCCGTTTTCTTTTTAAATAAAAATGTTAGATTTTGAAAAGGTAAAATACCAAAATCTTTTTGTATATAAATCAGGGTATAATCCTGCACGAAAAAGCAAAACAGCTTCTATGTTGCTCTAGAACTGCATTTCAAATGGTATGTCTAAATAACAGATGCGATCACACGTCAATAAAAGCGATCAACAGGTCACCGTGTATTTTTTTTTCTATTCTAATACTGTTCGGGTTCAAACACCACCTTCAAAGGATTTTTGTTTTTCTTCTCTTACATCGCAAAAGCTTCCAGGGATTAGTGAGACAGTTTGGAAAGTGGAACAGCGCCAAATGGAAACCCAGCTACACCAGGGAGGATACTTCATCCGCATTAATTACCGCTGATGGAGGACAAGATAGCAGGAAACACAAAGACATCTATCAGTCCTTAACATCTGAATAATAGAGGGACATTGGGGAATATAGGTGGGGTGGGGCGAAGTTGATCTCTAAAACAAGCAAGAGTTGAAAAGGTATCCTGTGGAAAATGGGTGATACTGACAGATAGATGGAAACCAACAGTTTTTTCTATAGGTTTTTTTTTTAAAGTGTCATAAGTTTTATTAAGTTTATTCACCTCGCTTAAATAAACTGGAAATGTTCAGCTATGACAGGTGACACACATACACGGTCTGCCTGTGCATTCACAACATTTCTAAAATCTGGAATAAAATGAATAAAACAATATGTCTGTTTACCCGTGAAGTCATCAAATGCAGTAGGGACGTATTTCGTCGGGTATCCATTCGTGGTGTAGCTGACCACCAGACTGGTTTTCCCCACCGCTCCATCGCCCAGCAGGACGCACTTCAGCAGCCGCTCCTGCGCCTGTCCTGGCCGGGTAGGTTTGGGTTTATGAGGAGGCACTGGAGGGGCCATGGTCCTACCGTAATCCATTCTGAGTGGAGGTGCCTTTCAGTCAGCCAGCTCTGCACCGCGATCTCCTCGATGGACCGGTGAAACACCCACCATGAGAACAGGTTCTTTCCTCCTTTGCAGTTTTTCTTCCCTCCAAACGGTAATGATCGCAAACGGAGCTCGTGCGTAAAACCTCTCCTCCTGTGCGCGCTGTCAAATCCAGTACGGGAAGTTATCGTCCAGTACTGCACCGCTGAACACTGCAGTTTTACCAAGCGAGGGAGGACCCAAAGTGTTTTTTGTGTGTGTTTTAGGATTAATTTGACTAATCCCACCTACTTTTTCTCATTGGCTCCGCCCAGCAACGTGGGAGTGTGAATCCAAGTGTTCTTTGAAGAAAAGAACATTACCCTTATTAAACTGTTTGGGGAAAATTAGAAAACAAGAGGGACGATCCTGTGTTTTTATTATTATTGTCAATCTTTCCTTTCAATATATTATTGTGTAGTTTACTCGTTTAACCTGTTACACACTGCGTTGCTATGGGCATTATGTTTGATCTCTTGCAGGCATGTCCAGACGTGTCCTCACTAGTTAGGAGGAAGCCTTGATGCCCTTTTTGAACATGGATATAAAAAGTGCTGAAATTTTATACGCAGACTTCAGCCTCCTGACTTACTTTACCTTGTACTAGTACGCTTTTCCAAGAAGGAACATCCAGAATCTACAAGATTACTCAATCAATCAATAAATGGAAATTTTATTGTATTCTCCACGTGATCGGCCAGTTTTAAACTGTCCAATATCTAAGGTGATTCGCTTTCTTATGCTAATTTGTCAAAGACACTGGAAACCTCGAAAACTGAACCAAATGTTTTGCCTTTTGCCGCCTCCTTGTGGCTGCAGCGAGAAACTGGCATACCTGAAAACAGGTAGCGTTAATACTCTTGTCTGTTTAAAAAAGCCACAGTATATGTTGAATTGATCTCTCAAGAGTTTATTTTTCCAGCCATAAAACTAGTTATTTTCAGGAATACAAAGAAAAGTGCACTAAGATAATGCAGGTCACGAGTGATCAATTGTTTGGAAATTAAATGAAAAGGAATTAAAAGTCAGTTTTCTGTTTAGATTAATATTTTCAAGGCAAATAGAAAACAAAAACTTCTGGTAATCTAGGCCTGGTATGACAACTCTATGAAAATGAAGTTTGGCTGGATTAGTAGCAGCTTTGCTAAATATGTACACAGGAATCATGACAAAACAGATTTATACATGTTAAGCTGTGTGGTTACATATTGCTGTAACCCTTCTTTTTAAAGAAAGGACAGATGGGTGTGTCTATGCTACTACTGTAGTTCTATGACCAAGCAGCACATGATTTCTGACACTAACTGGCCATTAGGTTTTGGTTATTAACGGGTTATATCTATGCTTTCTCTGTAGGATGTAAATTCACATCTATAAGGCATAACAGTCTTTGTGTGAGCTTTAAAAGCAGACACTAAAGGGAAATATGGACTTCAACTGTGGAGTATCCTGAATAATTTTATTATTCCTAAAACAAATCTACTTACAGTTCCATATAAGATACCTTGCCCTGTACAGATATAGGAATCCGGTAAGTTTTGTACATATACAAAACTCCATTATTGGGAAACAAATGGTTAGGCTGATACGAGAAGTGGTGCATTGTTGGAGGAAACAAGTTGTAAGTACTGTGAATCAGATCATGCACTGTAACCTGCGGTTAAAAAGGCACCTGCTGTATTACACTTTCACGTTCCTTCACAAGCTTCCTCTACAACGGGAGACAAAACACTTTAAGAGCACAGAGAACATGGGAAATCTTAGCACTTTGTCTATTGCCCATATACGCAATCATGAAACTCCTCAGCAACACTGACACCTCTGGTACTCTGCCAGTGAAGAACTTCCTCTCGTAAAATTTATAATATTGTAAATTACTAAAGTCACCGAGGAGCTCAGTTATCTTTCTGTTTATATCAAAGGAGGGAAAGCAGTGCCTTTCAGCTGCTCCCTTTAGGAGTCAGCACAGCGGATCTTCTGCCTCCATCTCACCCTTTCCCTAACCGCCTCCTCTATCACACCGACTCCCTGTATGTCCTCCTTCACTACATCCATGAATCTTTTAGTGTAAGCAATGAAAAAAACAAAAAACACACAAAACATAAAAAGGGTGACTGATAGTGAATAGAAATGGATGCCAGTGAGGGTGAAAAGAAATACAAAATTTTGGAAAATTAAGAAATGTGACTTTAATTGCTGAGTAACAGTTTTGTTTGAGCAAGCTCTATGTCAGTTACTCGCATACATGCACACACAAGCACAGAAACGTCCATACACACCTGCATACACACAGATAAACAGTCATGTGAATGAATATGCATGGAGAAATGTACATGTGATTTCACACACGTCTTTAATTGCCAGTTTTATGCTGCCGTGATCTGTGTTGACCCCTGTTTTAGTGCTCCTCGCACAAATCCCCTCAACGACTCAATTCCCTTTACTCAGGCGTGTAGCTGTCAGTGTGGGAGCTTCCCTTTTATGGTCTTGTACCTCATTTTGGACTACAGCTCAATTTAAGACACTTTTTGAATTCTTTTTTACATGTCAAAAACAATATTTCCAAAGATGGTCATGCGCAATCACCTGCGCTGCAGAATCTCTTCTTCTTCGAAACCAGCAGCAAGAGTCCTATCCAGGATTCATACACCATGAAGCAGAATCATCTCAGCCCCATCCTCTAACCCCTATAACTTGGATACAGTTAGTGTGAAGTACCATGCGTAGTCCTCATCATCTTTCATTTAAATAACCTCCCTTTCGTTCCCTTCCCCGTTTCTGGAGCTCTGTTCTGTGGAGCTCTGAGCACAGACTGCCATGTAAGACATCTGAGTGACAGTCTGTAACTCATGTAGCTTCTCTTTAAGTCGCTGTCCATGAGTGATTACTGGGTTTTGGGTTTGGCACCACCAGGAGTTGGATCAGGAGGAGGGCCACCACCCTGGACAAGTCTTTGAAGACTACAGGGGAGACACATAAGTGATAATAAGTGAAAATTAGCATCATCCACCACCATTATTTTTTGTTAAGTGTGTGTTAATGTGCTGCCAGAAACTATACAGGTATGCCTCACTGATAAATCCTATGTTTAAGGAACACATTCCAACATAGTTAGTCCTCTTAGCTCGTCCTACTAGCCTTATAGTAGAACCTTTTAAATTGCTTCAGTTAGATCCCTCCCCTGGTTTGTTTTAGTGGCTTGAAGCCATTTTGATACGGATTACCTGGTATTTTTTCTTGGGATTGTGTGTGCGTGATACTGTTACTGCCATTAACTATATCAGCATATTATCGTGGGCTTGGAAGGCATGACTGGGAAATGGATAAACTATTTTGGTTGTAAGTGGTTCCAGTTTGGATCGACAACCAGGTTTGTTAATCCTACTTATTTTCTCGTTTGGAAAAAAGACAGGAAACAAGGTCAAGGACACATCGGGTTGATGGAACCAGGCTGTGAACATTAAAAATTCTGAGATCCCACTGTGAGCTAAAAAGAGCTAAAAACTCATGCAACTGTAACAATGGATCTCCAAACTAACACTCTATACTTCAACATTCGGCCAATAATTAGCAGATAATGAGCAAATACACTATAACATATTAGTTACCATTATTATTAATAGCATTGTCACGCTGCACAGCCATGGTGGATCATTCTTCTGATGAGAATCATTTGATTAACAGTTAAAAATCTGTTGCTTTTTTCTAAACACAAATCATTGAGCATCATGTTCAGTCTCAGTCTGCTGACCAGCTGAAACTAAATGCTGTGATGTAAACTACAATGTGTTTGCTTTATTAATTGCAGTACTGTGCAAAATCTTGAGCCTCCCTTCTCAAAAAATGTACAGTGGGATTTGTCATTGATTTTCAGTCCAGGTCTTGTGTAATCTGGTACACCTCAGCCTTTTCTCCCTGTTTCCCTTCCTGAAGAATGACAGCCACCCTTCCCCTAAAACCATTTCTGATGTACAGTCGATGGATCAGCTGAAGGGCCAGATGCATTTTTCAGGTCCTGTTTCAGGTCTTTGTTGGATTTATTTTTTTTATTCTATTAGTCATATCCTATTTATTTACCATTTAAAGCTGAATCACGACATACTCGCCAGAAATGTATAAATATATATTTTTTAAATTAAAAACAAAAATGAATGTAAGATTTATTTGCTTTTATTAATTTGACTTTGTATCATATTTGCTATATCTGGCATTTCAGCTAACAGCACTTTGAGAATCACCTTTTTGTGCAAAAATACTCGTTTATGTCTGTGTTTCTACAACAGGCTGCAAAAAAAAGGTGCCTAAAGATTCAGTTTTTTTCAACATGTTCAAAATGTATTTTCCTTATAGTGTTAAAAACATATCTGAGTACTGCAGCAATGAATAGATTTGGCATATTTGTTTATTTTTCTTATAGACTGCATAGTGCTATTGACTATATACTGTGTTAAACAGTGTGAATGATACTTTGTGCAGTCAGCTCTGGTGCATACTTAAAGTAAAAAGAAGTATCTGAGATCATGAGCTCCACTGTGTTGGTGATAGCACCTTTCTGCCACAGGATGGCGTCATACTCACATGTCCTTGACGTTGTCAATTTGGGCCTGGATTTTTGCAATAACGCCATCAACCTGCTCCTGGAATATAACAGAAAAAGGGTACAAATGTTAAAGGATATGGTGGACATTAAATATCAGTGAGTGTACAAATAGAAAAAAAAGTTGCTACCTGACGTCGTATATAAAAAAGGGGCAGAGAAAAGACAGCGATCACACCTAGAAGAGAAAAAAAGTAGAGTTGCCAAAGTGATAAACAAAGAGTGTATCAATAGCTTTCATATGTCCAGTGATGATATGCGTTTCTTACTGATGATGAGCAAAGTAAGGCCATTGCACAGGTCTCCCAGGTATGTCACAAGGTACATCAGAAACAGGAACTAAAAGAATAAACATAAAATAAAGAAACAGCTGCACAGACTTTAGCTTTCACCAGAAAGTTAAGCTGTTATCAAGAAACCCTCCTGCAAACCTCCATTTGGTTTTCATTTCCTTCTAGAAAACAGTCCATCACACTAACACACTGTTGATTTTGCTCCACTGTATTATGTAAATAGGATACAGAATTCATTAAATTATTGTCACTGACATCATTTCTCCTTGACGGATAAAATAAGCTTTAAATATAACCCCCACGCCCCAATAT